TGTACTGAGTGAGATTATCTTTAGCCTTCTGTAGATGCATATTATAGAAGAATTATAGAAGTATTTTCTTACCGCTCCAGCTCTGCTCTGGGTTTTAGATCTCCCACTTCTTGCTCACTCCTCGCTCCATCCTCACCTGCTTCCCGCTCCACGGAAAATGAGAATTCAATTAATGCTCCAATTAATGCTACAATTGTTATATCACAAACCTTTCATATAACTGCTACATTTTAAATACAAGTAATATTTTTTTTTAATTATGTGCTCTATTTTGACGATCCATGCGCAAAAGTACAAAGCGCAGGGCGCAAGTGCAATAAAGGTGTATTGGAATCAACTTTTGCTATTTTAAGGATGAAAAAATCTGCTTTACGCCATGGCGCATGTTCTAAAAAGGTTGAGCTTATTCTCTTATTGAGTTATAGGTGTGTTTTGAGAATAAACCAATCAGAGTCTCATCTCACATTCCCTTTAGGAGTCAGTTGCATCACACCATAGTGCATCTGCTATTTACATGACGGACTTTGTAAGTGGAAAAACTGAGCGATTCACTTGTAGGCAAACAGTTAAACAGAGCATCTGCAGCACGAGGATGAGAGATTAGCCTCCTCATTCTGTACTTTCACTTTCACTCTTGTGGATAGGGAAACTTGTTGTACGCACAGACATCCATTAGCCTATACATAATTAATTTTGTTTTTTAAGTGCAAAGATTTGTTTCAAAGATATTTCTAAATTCAGTTCTAATTTCCAGCAAATTAATAAATGAACAATAACAACGAAGTGTGTTCTGAGTTTTGAAAAAACTGAGTTTTATCCTAATACACATGCTATGCCCCATATGGTCTAAAACCTGACAGGTGGGCAAATCTAAGCTTGTTTTTAATAAAACAAATATAAATATTGATATAATAAATAATACTGCTAAAAATAATAACATTATACAAAAGCAAATTGTTATAAATAAACTGAAAAAGCCCCCCGAAATGAAGAAAGCATGAAAGTATTGTTTTTATAATTATGTAGGCTAAAAAATAATAATTTTTGTAATATTTTAATCCTTTAATTCTTTTTCATATGTAAAGAAGATATTTGCGTATTGCTGTACATCCTGTCAGTATTAAGCAATGTGTAAGCGAGGCGCACAACTAACGCTCTCTGCGCTTGACTTTAGACCGGCTTTGTTCTGGTCTATTGAACAGTCTATTATAGTTTCTCAAAATAGCAATGCGCCAGCAATGCGCCTCAACACGCCTCCTTTTTTTAGACCAGAACGCCTGTGGGCGCACATATGAGCGCAAATGCATTTGCTATTTAAACAGCGTGGTGAAAAACGTCAAAACGACTCTTTCGCCAAGCTAAAACTAGCAAACAACAATTGCATTGCGCCTTGCACCGGGTGTATGATAGGGCCAGATGTCTTGAGCATCTAATTTTACCTCAGTGCGTGCGTGCTTTCATTTTCACCATCTCACTTATGGTGAGAACAGAGTGTTTTTTATTAAGTAAAATTGGCCTCAGTTCATTCTCATGTATCCTGCATCAAACTGACAGATGTATCAGGCTTTGCTGAAAGGATGGTTATTTTTATGGTGAAGAGGGACAATGCTGCCAAATGTAGTTTTTATAAGAAATGCGCCATTGGACTGATTTTTAATGCTTAATGTGATATCATTAATAAAGTAATTAGAGCAATAGTAAATTGAGAAGAAAAAGGTTGGGTTTAAAAATTTGGAACCTATGTTCCAAGTACAAAGTTTAAACCTATTTTGGTGCAATTGATTTTTTTTTTTTTTTACAAAACTTTATTAGACACACTTCTTCTTTTTGATTCTGCACATGCTCTCATGTAAATAAATATAGTCATTGGACTAAATATTCTGCCAGTCATCTGTTCTGTCTCTCTATATTTAAAGGTGGCTTATACTGTGTGCCAGGGAGTGTGTGGAGTTACTCATTAATGGTCCAGCATGTTAAGGGTATTAACAAATACAGTGCACTGCACTCTCAGAAGCTGCAGTCACCATAGTACCAATAAACTTCATGCTTTCATTAATCATTGCCACTGCAGTCACATATCTGGTGAACTTATGTTATACTCACAAACAAATAGACTATAGTTTGTCTGATTTTGTGCTGGATGGAAACTACTTCTGTTCTCTACATTAAAGGGCATGTGAGAGGTAATGAATAGTAAGTGCCCACAATAAATAGAATGCAAACTCTCTGTACTCTCTTGGTTAAACTTAATATTTAATGGCACATTGTTATGTAGTGCTAAATTATAAAAATGAACTTTATTTTAAAAATATTTTTTTAATAATTAATAAGTAATAGTGTTAGCACTGATTGATTTGACATCATACCAAACATACCAAAACCTAAAATGATCAGTTAATATCAGATAAAGCTCAAGTAGCATCTTCTTTGCAAGTGATGTTGATGTTTATTAAACAGTAGTGTTGGGCTGTCATTAGGTGTCTGTTGGCTGCTAATATATTATAACGTATATATTGAAATGAAGTGAAAGATATAGAATTAAGTGATTATATTATGTTTCATTTCAAAATATGTTTATTGCCAAACTTACTGCTAACCACGTTGAGAGCCTGTGCTGGGTGTGATTGTTGCTTGTTACTTCAATTGAATTATGTATCCACTAAAAACTTGAAACAAGGGATTATTTTTAAATAATGTAATCAATGTTACTTATAATGTACATGACTTAAACACTTTAAACAAATTCCGAAATTCTCTATTCAATTCAGAGTAATTTTATTTTTAATAAGCAAATATATTTAGCGTAATAATTAGATTTTTCTACCAAAGAAAGCTACATTGAGTAAGGTATTAATAGCAGTATATTAATGACAGGAACGTTTTGTCTTTATGCATGTAATTCTTATATTTTTTTTAGTAATAATTTTTATTTAATCTACAAGGCCCTGTAGGATCAAATGCAAAGAATTACAAGAGTTAAGTTTCTATTGCCTGTGCATTGAGATTTATAGATAAATTGTAATAGTATCGAGTGAAGTAATTAAAATCCTTATTGAGTGATGAAATTAATTTTCAAACAAATTAGAAAATTATTTAAACACAAATTTAATGATGTAATTAGTAATTAATTTCTTTTACCTAAAACTATCAAAATCTAACTACAGATGATGTTTAAGAACAAAGTTTCTGGAAAAATGGTTTTAAAAAACCACTGAATTATTGAACTACAGTATTTTAGTTGTCACTGAACTTTACAGTAGTTGACTAGTTTTTGGAAAACACATCCCTGACTTGTGTCTATAAACTATTATTATGAGATACTTCCTGATGATCTTCCACACAAAAGTAGAACAGTCAGCTTAGATTAAGCTTGTCTTGATAGCAAATCAAACCATGATATCATCGAGTCTGCAAGAGAATTACCAAAGAAATGTATGTGTGTACCTTTCCTGTGTGTGTTTTTATTTTCTGCTCAGTTCGGAGGCATGTTTTACAGAAGCTATGTTTGTACACTGTCCGATGGCTTGAGGCGCTGCTTTCTGAATCACAAAGTGGTAGTTATTTGGAGAGTTGTTTCTGCTAACACATGCACAAAACCTACAAGCGAGTTGTTGTGTGCAGTCAGTGTATTTACTCTCAACTTTTCTTTCAAAAATTATCAGACAGGTTGCAGAGATTTACAGACAATAATTTACAGACTTTAGTTGAAATTTAATATCTTGAGTTAAATAATCATGAATTTGGAAATGTTTTGGACTTTGGACGTCTGGTATGCTAATTTCTTCGAAATATGTGTTTTTATTTGATGTTTGACATAATCTCAACCAAAACAAAAAAGAGGGGGTGGGACATAGTGTAGCTCCTCCCTCTTTTTAAAAACCACCAATAGTGTTTTGTTTTATCACCGCTCTGCCAGTGAGAGTGGTTGAGCTCAAGTGCATCAAATAAAAAGCAAATAGCTGTTTTTCAATTCCAAGAACGCAGAGAATAGACTTGTGTTCTTGTGGAGACCGTTCTTGCCAGGTGTCGAACTCGGGAGAACGAACTCGGGAGACTGCGAGAACACAGATGAAATGAGATGCTGCGTTCTTCATGATGGTCACATGACCTTCACGTGTTTTTAACTGAAAATCATTTAAACATTACAGAATTCATACAAAGATTTGTTTTTTCCCTTTTGAAAATATATACTATGCATAAAAACATTTTAAATATACATTGCACAATATAAACAAAACTGATTTTAATATGAATTTCAGCAAACAAACATCCTTAATGTGTTTATTTCTTTTATAAGATGTCCATGGTAATGTTTATATTTACCGTTTCATTTAGGGAAACTCCTGAGGTAAATAAGTTATATCTCTAAACTTTAATTATGAATAAAATGCTGCGCTTCTCATGTCCAGTCGCAATGACTTCTGGGACTTCTAGAGCGAGATCAGTGCTCAAGTCTGCATCCGTGCGTCCTCGATATCAAGAACACATCCAGGAAGTTTCATGCGTCCTCTGTTCTTGCGGTCTTGAGCATTGGAACTAAACTTTGGCAGCTGATGATGACGTTACACGAGAACATGAGGACGCAGGACCGCTGAAGAACGCATATTGAGAAACAGCCAATGAGAAGTGGTTCGAAGGGGGTGGGGCATTTAAGACACTAGAGAGCATTTGATTGGTTATGATTTGATGAGAAACTGTAGTATGAGGTGATCAACCATTGATCCATTTAGGCGGAATGGACAAACTAAGCTTTACATCTTTGTAATAGTTTTGTGTCACTATTTTGAAACGCAATAGATTATAGATATCTTAAAAACTAACAATACTGAAACTGACAATCTAAAAAAACTTTTTTATTTCATGGGTCCTTTTGGGCTTACAGAAAATCTTTGTAATTAAATTTTGATCTATTTGTATGTTTAAGAACTGAAAATCACTGAACATGAATGTAGTCAGTGGAATGATTGTTTGTATTGATTTGAGAGCTGATTTCTCCTTAGGTGTGGTGAGAGGGTGAAGCGGAGTGGAGGAATGACGGAATATAAACTGGTGGTGGTGGGTGCAGGAGGCGTGGGTAAAAGTGCTCTCACCATCCAACTTATCCAGAACCACTTTGTGGATGAATACGATCCTACTATAGAGGTAATGTGTATCTGTGTTTGCGTTTTCATTGAGAGATTGCATTTAATGTAAAATATAATAGGGTCATTGTTTAGGTAGATTGAAATAATACATAATTCATATGCTTATAGACAGGAGTATTAGAATAAGTAGATAACATATTATAAAAAATGTAACAACAATTGTTCAGGGATGTTATATTTTGTCAGTATTACAGCAGCATTGTGTCCTAACTTAAATTTGATGCCACCTTTCAGTTTTTCTTCAAAACCAAGGCCTGCTAGTTCTTCCATGATGAGGGATGTATGTGTTTAGAGTTTATACATTTCCTTGCCTGTCTCTGTTCTGCTTTCCCGCCACACCCGACTCTAAATAGACAATGTTCTTTTTATGGCTGAAATCACTGTGTGCTAACACATGAGCACAGAGACGCATGTTTAAATGACTGCTGGGGCAAAGCTCAACAATCTCTACAATCACTGACTGTCTTTCACTCTTTGTACTTTTATTCTCAAAGTTGTTCATTGGGCACATTTTTAGAAGTTATTTAAAGACCTCAAATTTGGTGGCTGTGAAATTACAAAAGACTATTGGGGAAAAAAGAGAGAAAATGTTTTGTTGATTATACAACTTGAATTTGGTGTCGCTTTGACTGGGCATCTTTGTTTAGGACTCCTACAGAAAGCAGGTGGTGATTGATGGGGAGACGTGTCTATTGGACATCTTGGACACTGCAGGTCAGGAGGAGTACAGCGCCATGAGGGACCAGTACATGAGAACAGGCGAGGGCTTCCTCTGTGTGTTTGCCATCAATAACACCAAGTCCTTTGAGGACATTCATCAATACAGGTATGTGCTTAAATGTCATGCTATGGAGGGTTTTAAAATTTTATACATGAATAACTCCAGCAAATATACATTTTTATTTTAAATAAGTCAATAAGTGTTGATTGTTCAAACGCTTAATAGTTTTAAAATTAATTTATTGTGCTTTTGGATGTGGTGTTTTTCTGTTGTCACTAGAGTAGATGTGGTTGAATTGTGGCTTAAATCAAATTCACATTCAAAGCAAAGTTACATTTTTTAGACATTGTAGGAATTCATGTGACCAATCTGAATATGTTGGAAAATCTGTGTGGGGAAAGATTTTGTAGCTTCCTATTGAAATTACTTAAATTAAAAAAAGCTAAAAAGCTAAACAATGGCCAATTTATCTACAAAGAACATCAAAAAACAATAATATTTGTGTGTAAGGTGTATAGTAATGTGAAATTATTTTGAACCTTTGTTTATTATTATTATTATTCATAATAATTAATCATATAATTAATAATTTTTATGATTATTTTTATCCAAAAATATTATGCTCATTTAAGGTTGGAGGTTATGAAAAGATAAATTGCAACAGTGACACTGGAGCCTTGTTTCATATTAAAAGTAACCACAAAGCTTATTGTGATTTTGGATGGCTTGTTCGCTATATATGGACATTTTTTTAACGAGTCAACAGAAACAGTTACATTACATTTTACAACTCTAGAGTTAAACAGTTGACTTGAACTATTTTTGCTAATACTTAGTTAATTGAAATTATGTCATTTACTTACCCTCATGTAATTCCGTACACATGCTGTAAAATGTTTGTTCAAAAGAAAATATTTTAAAGAAACCTTTTTTTCTTTCGAAAACAGCATGGAAACCTGTCTGACTCCAGTGATTTAATCACTAATTTATAAAGCTATATGATTACTTTGTGTGTAGAACAAACACAAAATAAAGATGTTACATTTTTAATACCTAAAGAATAATACTTAATTGACATTTATATAGAGTTATGCATCTGTTGTCCACATATGTGATTTGCTAGTGTGCTATCTTAAAAAATCTAAAATAATTTGGAAAGTGTTAAGGCTGGGCCAATAAAACGGTATCAGTATTTATTGACCGAACACCACTGTCAATAACGCTAAAATAATTTGGTAAGAAGTTTCCGTACAATTTAGTATGATTTGCTCATCCCCCAATTAGGGTTGGGTTTGGGGTAGGGTTGGGTGACATGCCTCCTTTTTTAAATGGTACAATTTTGTATGACTGAACTTGCACAAATTTGTATAAATTAGCCACTAAACCGACAAAACGTAAATGGTTACATTTCCTCATGAGATCAGGTTGGAAGTTTTGGTATGAAGCGTTAAACATTTTTAAAATTGTGTTTGCTGAGCGAGCGCCTTCAAAGGAATGCCAGTAAACTTAGGGTTATTTCCAATCGAGGCGCACGGCTTGTGCACCCAAATAGGGACTGACACGCACATGATATGCAAGTGGTGCGTACCTAGTAGAAAATATCTACACTTTCCAGAGTGCAGTGCCGGTGCACTGCAATTCATGTGACTAGAACTAACCTAAGAGCTTTACACTTTGTTTGGAATATACACATTTCACTAATGATGGCAGACTAATTACTTCAGACAAACACAGAGCAAACACTACAGTGTTTTATAATTCTTTCTATTAGGGGTGTAACGATACACCAAAGGCACGGTTCGGTTCGGTTCACGGTTTTGGAGCCACGGTTCGGTTCGTTACGGTTCGGTTTCTGTTTACTGTGGGGTTAGGGTTGATGTCATGTTAACAGCAATGCTAAGGGACAATTCACTTAATAACAAGACCATCTTAACTTTTTCTTTTTTTAACTTTGTCATCACATTTTTAGTACAGTCAGGATACCCGAGTAAACAACTACTCCACTACCTACTACCTCCAATATAGACTAGTCAGAAAAAAAACTATTCTCTTTAGTGCAGCCATCTTAACTAAGTAAACTAAAATTAAATAAATAACTGCAGTGTAGACTAGTGAAAGATCTTCTTCAAAAATACCATAATATCCACATTCTCCGATGAGAGGCTTGATCGCTGTGCAGACACAGACGCTCATTTTTAATTATCTATGGTTTCAGTTAGATAGATAGGTTTCCGTTTAAATTAATGAAAAATATACATATAATGTGTTTGTAAAGTGTTTTTACATGACATATTCACCAGTAAAATACATTGCAGTTGTGTCTGAGACTAATGTTAGGGTTGTACTTGGCTGTATGTTTGCCTCCCGATCTCTCTCTCTCTCTCCCGCTCCCTCTATGCCAGTCATTTATGTAGGTCCACCTTCAGAACAGCTGATGCCTGTCATTTCTGTAGGTCCGCCTTTTTGACAGCTGATTGGTCAGGAGACCGATCTATCATAAATTGGCGACGTAGCGTGGGAATGTAAAAAGCATGTCAGGAAGAGCGGGAGAGAGAGCGCTTTTTCCTTTGATCTCGTTTTTCGTGTATTTTTCTGACATGATTATGATTTTCGTTGTTTTTGCTTAACTTTTGTTTGGGTAAAATTATTTTGCATTACTTTTGCCCACTTTAAGAAATTTTGTGAGGTTTGTACATTTTTATTTCAATTGATTTGTATATTATTTTTTAGCTCCGCTCCTTCCCGACAATATAGCTGCATCTCCTCAAGTTCACTCCTAGTGTAAGGTGGATAGGGAAAATGTAATACGATTTCCATTTTGCAAACACGTAGAAAATGTATTGTTAAAGACATCAGGTAAGAGGTGTAGGCCATCTTTGTTTATTTTATTCAGTATAGGGAAGAATGCGGCGCACGGCGCTGAAGACCTTTTTTTTCTTTTGATCAGTTTTTAGCGAGGTAAGAGGGGTTATTCATGAGTTAGAATTGTTTTATGTTTATTTCTTTTGTTTGTCTTCTATCATCCCCTTGCTCGAGTTTAACTAATTTTTGTTTGATACTTTTGTTTGAATTTGCTACTTTATTATATTATTTTTATTAGTGTAAATATTTCCCTTTTTTTTGTATATTAGAGCATTATTCTGGTTTCACTTTTGTACATTAAATCACTTTTGTTGGCAGTTATGTTGCTTACACCCTCACATTGTAAAATTACCACACTTTTTAAATGTTTTTCGTGAAAAGAGTTAAGACAGACAGGTGTGTGCTTTGTCTACGACACAAATTCTATTCCTGTACTCAACTGGAAAACCAAAATGTTTCCACACAGATGACTTAAATGTGTCTGGGAGATCTGCAATCTCAGTACTATGTGAAGCAGCCATCCTGCGTCCAGTAGTATTGAGTGTGATGCTTACTCAAGTCACATGACATGACATGCACTAAAATACTAACTTTAGAATATAATATTTAGAACAAAACCTCATTATTACTAAAACAATTTAATCAAATGTGATAATAAAGATGTGTTTAAATTGGTTCAATTAGTTAGAGACAAGTGACGTCAACCTCAACAATGGGCAGCAGAGGGCGTGAGAGTACCGCGGTACGCCACGAGAGTTTCGCGATGCGTATCGTGGTTGGTGTATCGCGATATTTCGGTTCGGTTTTAATATCGTTACACCCCTACTTTATATATATATATATATATAAAACTTGTAACGAAACTACAGCAATGGTTTGTCCGTCTGTCCTCCTCTCAGAAACAGGTTGATGGTCACCTTACGAGAGACGCCAGGTTTTTGCGCTCTTTTCACATGGTTTTAGACAGAACATCTGAACGGACTCTAGTTGTGTTGTGTCACCCTAGGTCAGAATAACACATGTGAAAAATGAGTGCCATGACTAACAGCAGTGAAAAAAATTATATAAGGATATTGCCAGAGTGGTGTTTTGGTTTCTTTTCTTGTGCATCCCAGACACTAGCACACATTCAGAAAGATTTTTTAGCACGGGAGGTAATGTAGTCATCCAACTTCACAATTTGCAATGTTGCAATATGTGTTTGAATAATGATGATTGGTTCCTTTACTTGAATGCTCAAATTTGGTTATTTTTAATGATAGATGTTGATTTTTTTTCTTAAAGTTTGCTTTGAATGTTCAGCATGTACACTTTACCATGACTCCTTGTGTTTGTGTTAGTCTGATTAGCTCTGCCACACTGCACCCCCCCCCTGAACCTAAAATTGAAAAGCACACACTTTGTAATATTTGATTTATCAAGTTTAAGAGTCTTTTTAACACTTGTTTATTTTATTTTATAAGAAATTAGTCCAGCCCTATTCTCATTACTGTAATAGGAACAAAAACTAGTTATAATGAGAAGAGTTTCTATGAGACTGTCAGCCCTCAGCATGTCAACCCTCATGTTTGTGTTGTTTCTGTTCCAAACTGTCACCTCTTATTTCTTTTGCTGCTTGTTCTATGCTGCAACATGTATTACTCTATTCAGATCTTTAAATTGGATTTTGTCTTAGGATCTTTTGCAAAACATGCAGCAGTTGGCACTAGGGCAGTGCCAGTGAAGTCAATCTCCACTTAATTATACTAAAGAAGAGCTTTCAAGGACAAGAAAGGAAGGATAAATAAATGATTAATAACATGTTGTTTGTGGGTAATAGGGTTTACATAATGGATTTGAAATAAATGGACATGGGGATTAATCAGCCTCAGATGGTTGTTATATATCCGGTGTGCATTATATAATTTTATCAACTTCAACTTTTTAATTTTAATTTTGGATATTCAGTACGCTACGTGTGTATTAGATGCTGTTTAACTAAGTTTCTTCACATTTTAATTGCACCCACAGGTGTTGTTATATTTGACTGTGACATTTTGCTTTTGCACACAGAGAACAGATCAAACGGGTAAAAGACTCTGATGATGTGCCCATGGTGCTTGTGGGTAACAAATGTGACCTCCCGGCTCGGACTGTGGACACACGGCAAGCACAAGAACTCGCCCGCAGTTACGGAATCCCTTTCATTGAAACCTCAGCCAAAACCAGACAAGTGAGATTTTTTTTTTGTCAAGTCATTTCTTAAAGATCGAAAATATTTTTTTAGCAACAAAACTAGCTAGTGTCAAGCTGTTTCCAAAAAGTACAGTTACATAAATAAACTGTCCAAAAATATTGATTGAACTACAGTGACATTTTTATGATTGCTTTTATTATTATTACTTAATTACTATTATTATTATTATTATTCCTTTTTTATCTTGTAAGGATTGTTTTAGGGATAGAAACAGCTTATTCCATCCTAATTTTCTCCCTGGTGTCATTCCAAACCAATAAACCCAAATGAGTTACTTTCTTGAAAAACTTATTCTGAAGAATATTTAAGCTACTTTTATTAACAAAATATTTATGACAAGCAAATGGGTTTATTTATTTATTTATTTATTTATTTTTATTATGTGTTATAATGATTCAATACAAGTAATTGTAATGCTTGTAGCTATATTATATTTAAATTAAAATCTGTCTAATTTAAAATCTGTCCCTGCATTGACAGCCTAGACAACTGGCACTTCAAAGGTCAAAAGTCAGTTAAAATGTCATTTCCAAAGTCCACTTGGCTCCAGTAGTTTAATGTTAATTTTAGGAAGTGACAGGATAATGTTTTCACTACCTCTCTGGACCTAAGCCAGAAGTCCTCAAACCTGGAGGGCTTTTGTGAGTTGTCCTGCGAAGTTTAATTCCAACCCCTATTAGAGAAACCTGAAGCAGCTAATCAAGCTCTTTCTAGGTACTTGAAACTTCCAGGCAGGTGTATTGAAGGAATTTGAAGCTAAACTATGCAAGATATCTGCCCACTATGATCGAGTTTGGGCACCCCTGACCTAGACTGTCAATGGAGACAACAACAGTATTTGGACAATATATTATGATAAAGTAATTACATTAAAAAAAGAGTAAGACGAAAAATACTCTTGAACATTAAGTGTTTAAAAACCACACTGATTGTCAGCTTTACATATATTGTAAATCAGTGTTTCTCAACCACAATCCTGGAGGACCACCAACACTGCATGTTTTAGATGTCTCCTTTGTCTCACACCCATTACAAGTCTATTAGTCTCTGCTAATGAGCTGATGACCTGAATCAGGTGTGTTTGGTTAAGGAGACAAGGAAGATGTGCAGAGCTGGTGGTCGTCCAGGAACGTGGTTGAGAAACACTGCTGTAAACCCTCTCCGCAGACAAAAAAAAATAAAACTAACAAAATTAATGAGACTATAATAAGAGGAATCATTTCTTTGATGATGAAACTTTCATCTTTAAAAACTTTTCTATACATTCTCTCCCCTCAACTTTCATTTTTTCTTGTACACGACTTTTTATCACTATTGCTTTTTTAAATAGCTTTTCAACAAAGACAAAGCACACAGAGTAGATTTAACAATAAATATAATAAGACCAGGTACAAAACAAAAGCACTAACTGAGATTAACTATATGAATGTAATTTTGAGAGGTGTGTGAGTGTTATGAGCATTAAATATACAGTTTAATGTCAGAATTATTAGCCCCCCTATGATTTTTTTTCTTTTTTAGTATTTGCCAAGTTATGTTTAACAGAGCAAGGAAATGTTTACAGTATGTCTTATTATATTTTTTTCTTCTGGAGAGTTTTATTTGTTTTATTTCGGCCAGAATAAAAGCAGTTTTTAATTTTTTAAAAACATTTTTAAGGCCAAAATTATTAGCCCCTTGAAGCTATATATTTACAGGGGGCCTAATAATTAAGGGCTTCAGCTGTACATTTCTAATTTGTCTATGAGTTGTTGTGATGCATTTGGTAAGGAGAAGTTAAAGAAAGGGGAATTTAAATGATAAAAAATCGTTGAAAAACTGAATCTGCTGGATTTTTCTGAAGAACAGCAGTCAGTTTAACTGTTCAGAACAAACATAAGACTCATGAAAAACCATCACAGTGCAGAAAACACTATCAGATCATCAGGTAACCACACACAATAAACCATATGTAACTTTTGCAGGTGGTTATTTTAATAATTTTAGCTACGTTTTTGTCTTGTGAACTATATGTAAATATCTTTTATGAAAATATCTTACTAAGGAAAGTACCACATTAAATATAGCATTCATTTTGTATGATATTTCTTATTTTGTTCAGATTATTCACATTTGAACAGATTCTTCAACAATTCTTCGTTAGTCCCCTTGAATTAAAGTGTCAGCCAAATGATTTAATGTGATTGTAAATATAACTCAGGATTTGATACTTTTTATAGTTTTGGGAGATTCTTTGGATTTACAGTTTTTAATGCTGTAATTCTCCTCAAGGCCACCTACACACACATGCACATGCAGGGTGTGTTGTATAACACTGCAGGAGATGACTCATTGCCGCTTTGTATTATGCCCATCTGACAAGAACTGCAAGGAAAAGACCAAACCACAGTTTTTCCCTCATATTACTCTAGTATGTCTGTCACTTTGATATGTTTCATCACTAGGTTCAGCTTGCACGTAGTCCTATACACAGAAACCTTATTTAAATGTTGACAATTCAAATCTAAGTTATGTCACATTAGTTACATGATAGCATCAGCACTGATTATTGCCTTCTCTCATTTCGAGTGTGGTTCCCGTTGTTGCAGGGTGTGGAAGATGCATTTTACACGCTCGTACGAGAGATTCGTCAACACAAAATGAGGAAGCTGAATCCACCAGACGAGAGTGGCCAGGACTGCATGAGCTGCCGATGTGTTGTGTCGTGATCAAGGTACCAAATACACATTGACATTCTTTGTTTTAATTGTAATTTTGTAAAAGGATGAGATAAACAGCAGGGAAAGGAATATTGAACACTTCACCATTTTTCTCAGAATTTTTTTTGTAAATGTGCCGTTGAATTAAAATTTTCTCCAGATGTTGGTAACAAACAAAGAAAACCATATATGCAAAGAAAACAAATTTAATTAGTTTACAAATTAAATTGTGTAATAAAATGAAATGACACAGGGAAAAATGTCGAACACATGAAGAAAGGGAGGTGTAAAAAGCCAGTGAAAGCCCAGACTGTAACTGAAATCTCTCAGTAGTTATTCAACATCATCATTGATTATTGTAAAATATTGGCCCATTTCCACTGACTGGCACAGTATGGTACGGTATGGTCGGTACGAGTCACTTTTATTAGGTTTGCGTTTCCACTTCCAAGGGTACCCTTTTGGTGGGCGTGGTGTTTGACAGAAAGTTTCAGTCGACGTCATTCTCGCTCGAATAAATGTCTACAGTAAAGCTGTACAGGTCATTCACAAATCAAATGAGAAGCACTTCTCACAAAACAGCTGCTTTATACACAAATACTTTGTATATACATTTTATTTTTAACTTTTCTATGAACATAATTTGATTATAACTGCAGATAAATGACAGTGCGAAATAGCCTACTGTAACATCTGCAATTATATAAAATAAATGTATAAATGCAACATATATGAACACATACAGACCCTTACAATCTTCAATATGTTACACGTAACAGCTCACAGTGAGTGCAAACCTCTCATCTGTGTCTGTAATCTTCATTAGCAAATGTAAACTCTGTTAGAGAGTAATTCTGTCATTCTGAGTTCATAATAGTCCAAAAGGCGATAATAAACATGGCAGTTTGTTCGTGATTGGAGTTGTTGAAACAATTTGCTTCTGTGTTTTGTCATGTTTCTCCTTTGTTTTTTTTTTTGTTTTTTTGCATTTGTCCTTTTCTTTCTTAAAGGATCAGATGAGGAAGACACTTCAATAATTACATGCACGTTATTATCTTCAGCTCAAGAAGTTCATTATATCAAATATAGACGCGATCGCAAGCTCCCGTAAGAAAGCAAAGGCCTCGTAATACAACAACAGGACACAGCAGATTTTGTTCTTCTTGGCTTTGTGGCTGTACATTAAGACAACGACAAGGTTTGTTTGAGCTCGGGTCATCCATGGCTCGCTATTATATGCACATAGTTTTATGGTGTAATGACTATGTATTTATAACATGACGGTTCCTTTGTTTTCATTCTGGCTAGCTCCACATGAGCTTGTGACATATCTCTGTAACCAATCAGCATTTACAGTAGGTGAGAGTTCAAAGTGGCTATTAAAGCCGCGGCTGGTACCGCCGCCGTTTGAAATAGGTGCCGCTCTGTTTTTAGTGTATGACCGCAGTTTGTGAATGAGCCGCCAGGGGGCGCAAAGGGACGGGATGCGAACGGACAGAAATAGCCCATACAGCTACTGTGCTTGTAAATGATATTAAACAATAAGTCAAAGCATTATAATTCCTTCATTAATCATTTAAAATTTGTTAACACGCTTTATTGTAAACTTTTTAAGTGCAAAGAGGATTCGTTTTGGAAAATAGAATTGAAGAAGTAAAAGACAACTAAAATGAAAGCACAAACATTTAGTACAAATAAGTAGTCTTAAATAAATAAATAAATAAATAAATAAAGCAGCCTAAATATAGAAAGATGTTCAGTGTTTGCTATTTTGATAGGACTAAGACAAGACATTTTCATTTATGTTTTATTTCTGTTTTTATTTCCATTTTCGTTGTTGATTATATTTTACTATCTCATTTATGTCTCAACAATTGTACATAAACGAATAATAAACGAATAATGAAAATAAATGAATAATGAAAATAGGCCTAAATAAATTATTTATTTAAAGACATTGCCGTACAGTACGTGAAACACTGAGAAAAATAAATTGACCTACCTTAAGCAGATCACTAAAAGTATAATAAAAATATTTTTGCGCAGGACATAAATTAAGTCTTGCAGGTTTATTTTTAATAATTTAGATTCAGTTCTGTTCAGTTTTTTTTTTTTTTTTTCAAAACGTCAATGTTCTCCTTTAAAGTAGCTATAACTGTTGTTTTGTTTTTTTGTTTTTTTTTACTTATGGCTCAGTATGTTTTGTATTTTAACTTCATATTCAGTCACCTTGCAAATGTGTGTGAAATATAATGCCGCATAACCGCGGAAAAAGAAGAAAAAGCTGTCAAAGGTTAGAGCTAATTCATCAAAATAAGCTATATTAAAATACAGCATTTATGTTAATACAGGCAGAGTGTGAACAAACTCAAGGCTAAGATATGCGCTTGCCTTTTAATGCATTTGCGGCCTTTCTATAGGCTACAGGCAACTATGTATAATAATGTTTTTTTTCTTTTTTTTTTGTATGGTAAAGGACAATGCACATTATGTTATTGATGTAAACTTAGGCTAAAACTTACCATTGATAAACGTGACCTACCTCAAGCAGATCACTTAAAGTATAAAAAAAATAAAGTAGGCTATATATATATATTCTTAATAAACTTCACAGCCACAAATATAAAAAAACACAACTTGTATTAAAACTGGGCGAGGATTAGAAAGAATACGATGCTTGTTATATAATTTAAATTTTGATTCCAATTTCTGCAAGCACATTTTTTCACTCGCTACTCTGCCAGAAACTTTGCCGCCGGAGAGCACCTCAATAATGTAAACATTTGTTTAAAGATGGAGCGCAAGATGTGCCGAGTGGCAACATGTGAAGAACGATGACAAAGCTAAGTGTGATTATTGTAATAAACTAAGTTATAAAGCAGAGTCCCGACCAACAGGACTAAGCATATGCGGTTGGCTCATTCTTCACGAATATAGAATTAAAATAATGGCGCGTTAGGTTCACTAAGCAGCGCATTCTCTCCGCCTCATCGTTTATTACCAGCGGGACACGCTGCTGAAGCAGGAGAGACACTCCGTCATTCATAATCTTAGCTGATGTATCGGAGTCGAAAGAATATATCAAAGAGGAATTTTCTTTTAACAGTCCCGATATGTTTAATCTTTTTATTTTTTTTTTCGTGTCATTTCTCTTCAGCAAATTAGATATTTTTTAAAGCTGCTTGATTCTTTTAAAACCGAAAGCAGAGCCCGTGGTGTTTTTCCATAAGATACTCCTTTATGAATGTTTTAATTTTTTTATTAAAGTCTTTAATGTGCTTTTTGATAGTTTTATTTTATTTCAAGCAGCATCTAAATGCGAATTTATCCTCAAAACTTGGCATGAGAGCGATGCAAGTCATGTGTGGCATAATTGCCTTTTTTCCCTGCGCGTGCGAGATCAATTTCTGATCTTTTTGCAACTAAAATGAAAGCATAAACATTCAGTACAAATAAGTAGTCTTAAATAAATAAATAAATAAATAAATAAAGCAGTCTTTTAACCTAAATATAGAGAGATGTTCAGTGTTTGCTATTTTGACAGGAGACAAGACATTTTCATTTATGTTTTTATTTCTGTTTTTACTTACATTTTCGTTGTTGATTATAGTTTACTATCTCATTTTATGTCTCAACAATTGTAGATAATAATAAACGAATAATGAAAATTAATGAATAATGAAAATAAGCCTAGATATATTATTTATTTAAAGACATTGCCGACATTGAGCTTAAGTTGAATGCAGCTTCATCAAAAGCAAAATAAAAAATAAATAAATTGACCTATTTTAAGCAGATTATAATAAAAATATTTTTGCCGCAGGACATAAATTAAGTCTAGCAGGTTTATTTTTTTAATAATTTAGTTTCAGTTCAGTTTTTTTTTTTTTTTCAAAACGTCAATGTTCTCCTTTAAAGTAGCTATAATGGTTGTTTTGTTTTGTTTTTTTACTTAATGGCTCAGTATGTTTTGTATTTGAATTTCAATTTCAGTCACCTTGCATATGCGTGTGAAATATAATGCGAGCATAACCGCTGAAAAAGAAGAAAAAGCTGTCAGTTAGAGCTAATTCATCAAAATAAGCTATATTAAAATACAGCAAGCATGTTAATACAGGCAGAATGTGAACAAACTCAAGGTACGGCTAATATGCGCTTGCTTTTTAATGCATTTAAAAAGATTTGCTGCCATTTTATAGGCTACAGGCTATGGTGTATAACAATGTTTTTTTTTTTTTGTATGGTAAAGGACAATGCACATTGATTTGAAACTTTTAATTGCATTTTTATGTCCTGTAAATAATAAAAGTTGAATCAGATTAATAAAATCGAATCTGAATACCTGCAAACGGGGCCACAGTTACTTTTTTTTTTTCACTGACTGGCATGACTGGCAAACGCGTCAGAAAAAAAACTGCTGAATCTCTGCAAATATTTGGTTAACTTATAAAACAAATGTATGGTTTAGTGATGTTAGTAATGCATAGAAAAATGCAAAGCAGAATTATTAAAGTTATTATTTCATTGATCTGAACATAACCATTTATAATATAATTACTAACCCGTCGTCTAAAATATTAAAATAATAAAATAGTCTATTATTTTATTCGTGGCTAGAGCTTGATTAAATTGATTAACAAGCCATGTGCTTTTGTTTGTTTGTTCTCGGTAGTGGGTATACGCAAAACATTTTCTAAAATGTCAAGCAGTATTTGTCTATAGCTTTAATTAATTCAAAATATTAAAAATAACAATAATAAAATTATAAAAATACAAAGATAAATAGAGCAGCATTTTGCTAATTATAATAGTCCTTTATATTTATATACATGTGTTTTTGCATATTCGTTATTTCACTTGATGCATTCGTTATTTAATGTTTGAATACTGAAATAAAAAGCCATCGTTTAAAAGGTTATTTCACCATCAAAATTTAGCCTGTTATATGTATCATTAACGTTTTATATAAAACTGCTGTGCAGTGTAAATGGGACCTTAATACAGTTTAAAGCGA